AGCTAAACGAAATTACAGGTATTAATTAATGGCTGATGCTTGTTTGCCAGCTCCTGCAAGCAGAAGGGTGGATGGAAATGTATTTACAGCAGAATTTAATTACCCATTTCCAAGGCACTGGCCTCCTGGCAAAAGCCTCCCAGTGCAGTGCAGAACAGGACTTGGATTAAGAATTAATTTACTGTCAGGAGTGATCTGCAATTTAACAGCTTAATCGAGTTTGCTGTGAAATTGGTCAGGAGCTCTGGAGCCTGAGCTGCCCCAGAGCTGCTGCAGCCAGGCAGGGTCAGCATCCATCAATCAGCTCAGCCACAAAACCAGAGCCTGGCTCAGGATCTATAGGTAAAACAGCAAACCAGACCTGGGTCAGGATCTATAACAGGCAGCAAACCCTGAGCCTGGCTCAGGATCCATAAATCAGCCAGGAACCAGAGCCTGGCTCAGGATCCACAGCTAAACCAGACCTGGGTCAGCAAACCAGACCTGATCCATGAATCAGCTCAGCCAGCAAACCCTGAGCCTGGCTCAGGATCTATAGCTCAGCCACAAAACCAGACCTGGCTCAGGATCTACAGCTAAACCAACAAACCCAGAGCACCTCCTGTGACCGGGCAGGGTCAGGATTCACAAATCAGCCAGGAAACAGAGCCTGGCTCAGGATCTACAGCTAAACCATCAAACCAGAGCCTGGCTCAGGATCTATAGCTCAGCTCAGCCACAAAACCAGAGCCTGGGTCAGGATCTATAGGTAAAACAGCAAACCAGACCTGGGTCAGGATCTATAACAGGCAGCAAACCCTGAGCCTGGCTCAGGATCCATAAATTAGCCAGGAAACAGAGCCTGGGTCAGGATCTAGAGCTAAACCATCAAACCCAGAGCCTGGCTCAGGATCCAAACTCACCCAGCAAAACCAGAGCCTGGCTCAGGATCCACAGCTCATCCAGCAAACCCAGAGAACCTCCTGTGACCAGGCAAGGTCAGCATCCCCAGGTCAGCCACCAAACCAGAGCCTGGCTCAGCATCTATAACTCAGCCAGCAAACCAGAGCCTCTCCCATGACCAGGAGCTGCCCAGGATCCATAATTCAGCCAGAAACCAGAGCCTGGCTCAGGATCCAATCTCACCCAGCAAAACCAGAGCCTGGCTCAGGATCCATAAGTCAGCCAGGAAACAGAGCCTGGCTCAGGATCTATAGGTAAACCATCAAACCAGAGCCTGGCTCAGGATCCAAACCCACCCACAAACCCTGACCCTCTCTGTGACAGGAGCTGCTCAGGAAGCCTCTCTGCCATGGAGTTCCTCTGTGCTGGACTCCTGTCAGCACCACACAGTGCCAGGCTGGATTCCCTCCATGAATTCCCTTCAGCACCACACAGTGCCAGGCTCAGCTGTGCCCTCCCTGCATCCAGAGCAGTTCTCCCCCAGTCAATCCCCTTCCATCCCCGGATCCCTGCCCAGGGGGGCTCTGGGGAGCAGCAGCAGCAGCAGAGCCACCCCCAGCTCCAGTGGGAGGCCAGGCTGCAGCCCTCGAAATGCCAAGGCACCAAAAAAGCCTGCCTGTCCCAATTTCCTCCTGTTATTTTGGTACGCTTCGGGAAAAAACCCAACAACACGTAACTCATTAATTATAACCTTTCAAAAGCGTTCTCCTTCCCCCCCAAACTGCTAAAATTTAGCAGAGCTGCAGCCAAAGTTCTAACAGAGCTAATTTTAGCTTTTGTCATGCACAGAACATCATGAAGTAGGTCTCATCCTTCCATTAATGCAAATGTATTGGAGCAGTCGGTGCAGGAACTTCCAGAGGTGCTGATCAGTGTTCCTGGTGTGTGCAGCTGTGTAGCTACAGCTGATCTAAACACCAGCATTCTGCATGACTTACCTTGTCAGCTCCACACTCCTCACAAAAGGACTTTATTCTTTTTTTTTTAGCCCAGCATTTGTCAGTGGAGCACCTCCAGCATTTGGAATGTGTGCTGGGATCCCCAGGCAGAGATGCAAGTATAAAACATGCATGAGTGCTAAGCAGGGATGGGGCAGCAATTTGTGAACATCAGCACACTCCAGTGTTCTGTTCACACTCCAGAATTTGCTGGTTGTATCTGATCAGAAGGGACAGCTCACAAATGCAGGTTTAAACATCGTTTTGGCACCCAACATGCTTTTCCCCAGCACACCTTTTATCCCTGATGAGCATCACCAGGCCATGGGCTCACCACAGCCCCTAAAATCCATTTCACAGGGGGATTTAAACAGGAGTCAAGCTGTCCCCTCAGTAATTTGTAAATTCAGTCTCAAGCCAAACCACAAACCTGTCACATAACACAGCTCTGAGTTCAGCAGCCACACCTGAAGGATTTTGTATGGGGTTTAAGATTTACAATTTTCAGTTTCATCTGAATACTCTGCCTCCAAGCACTGTACTGGACAAGAAGCCTTGCAAGGTTCTGCAGTCTGACTCATTAGGACAAAAGTTAATTAAATCACATTACATTCCCTCCTCAGACATACTATTCCATCTTAAAGATGATTAAACAAGAGACAAATGTAATTAGGACAGGAAAAAGTATAAGCCAAAACATTAATGTTATCGTGTGCTTGAGGAAAATGGAGCAATAAATCACCTTGCTGCCTTTGTTTGGCACTAACTGATAACACACAGAGCCCTGACCTTGCTGTCTGATACCAAATCACACTGGTGGGGCAGCGGGGAGGGAGCTGGGCTGTGGCAGCAGATATTGCATTTAGAGAGAGGGGGAATATCTGAGTCTGGATTGTGGAGATGGAGCCTTACAGAGAGGAAGCAGTGGCAGCAGATATTGCATTTAGAGAGGGAACATCTGAGCCTGGATTGTGGAGATGGAGCCTTCTAGAGAGGAATCAGTGGCAGCAGATATTGCATTTAGAGAGAGAAGGAATATCCAAGCCTGGCTCATGGAGATGGAGCCCTCCAGAAAGGAATCAGTGGCAGCAGAAATTCCAGGTAGAGAAGGAACATCTGAGCCTGACTGGTGCAGGTAGAGCCTTCCACAGAGCATCAGTGGCAGCAAATATTGCAGTTAGAACAGAGAACATCCCAGCCTGACTCATGGAGATGGAGCCTCCACAGAGCCCCCAGCACAGCCCCGGGTGGTGAAACCCAGGCTGAGCCCCCACCACCATCCAGGCTGTGCCAAACTGCTCAGCTGGCCCTGAGAGAGCCCCAGCTCTGCGCCAGGAGAGCTCCATGGAAGGGGCAGAGCCCTGGGCGTGCCCTGCTCCTGCTGGGCAGGGGTGTGCAAAGGGGATGGGCGACCCAGGGTGGGTGTCTGTCACCCCAGGGTGGGTGTCTGTCACCCCAGGGTGCCCAGGGTGGGTGTCTGTGACCCAGGGTGGGTGTCTGTGACCCCAGGGTGCTCAGGGTGGGTGTCCGTCACCCCAGGGTGGGTGTCCGTCACCCCAGGGTGGGTGTCTGTCACCCCAGGGTGCCCAGGGTGGGTGGGATGCCCCCTCCCCAGGCTGGGATTCCAGAGGACACCCCGGGATGCACAGAAACCCTTTCTGCCTCCTGAAGGCACAAGTCCTGGTGTGGAGGAACAGGCAGTGAATCCCCAGTGACTCCAGGTGTGCCCAGGTGGTTTTGTGGGCCTGGGTCTGCAGAGAGCCCCTCCCCTCCCTTCCCTTCCTGCTCGGGCAATCTGACCCTGCAGGAAACACTGACTCCCCCTTTCCACCCAACCTCAGCATTCAGCTCACATCACTGCTGGGTAATTATTCCTTTCAGGAGCAGAGATGCAAAGGAGGCATTAACAGCCGTTCCAAATATCACATTTGTGCACTTTTCCCTTGTCACATTAAATATAATTACTTCTGATGCAATCAAACTCATACCCTTCACACGGATAAATCCAGCACCAAATTTAGAACCCCAAGCTTCAAACACCAGGCTCTTAAAGCAAAGCTTTAAGCCTTTACTTTCAGCTCAGTGAGGTACAGAGAACAGTGAGAACATAAGGTCCAAAAATGGTGGTTCTAAATGAAATTTCTTTAAATTATTCTGTTAGTTACTGGTGGCAAAGGGCTTTGAAGATCAAAGGTGGGACATGAACTCCATCTGATAGCTCAGCAGCAGGAGATGGGACCCAGCTAACTGACCAAGCCTTCCAGAAGGTTCCTCTCTAAAGTGAAAATCAGAGCATGTGCAAACACCCAGAGATGCAAACAGAAATTCTCTGCTGCTACCCAGAGTCAGGATGGGTGCCCCAAGCCACACTGGGATGTGCTGCAATGTCACAGACATATTTTAGGGAAAATCCTTTCCTTAGGATTTTTATTCCTGAGAAGCTGGGAGGCCTCAGGAACAAAATGCAAACATTGATTATCTGCTGCTGTGGAATGCAACAGGTGCATCTGGGATTGGCCCATGTTTCTAATTAATGGCCAATCACAGTCAGCTGGCTCAGACCGTCTGGTCAGTCACAAGATTTCATTACCATTCTTTTCTATTCCTTTCATGCTTTCTGATGAAATCCTTTCTTCTGTTCTTTTAGTAGAATTTTAATATATCATTTTCTTTTAATATAATATATATAATAAAATAACAAACCAGCCTTCTGAAACATAGAGTCAAGATTCTCTTCTCTCACCCTGGGAACCTCAAACACCACCACACTGGTCAGAGCCACAGGCTGTGCCCAGGCTCCTGCCCCTGCCATTCCTGCAGCCTGGACTCAGCCCTGGAGTCATTTCTGTCCCTTTTTTGGCCTTTACAGCCCATTTCAGGCTGGGGCTGCCCCAGAGGCACAGCTGGGTGTGCTCAGTGTGGGTGCAGCAATGTGAGTGCTCAGTGTGGGTGCAGGTTCAGCGCTCAGGGCAGAGCAAAGTGCAGCAGCCAGACCCTCCCAAACCCCCCAAACCCCAAAGCCCCGAGCTGTGCACACCAAGCACACCCAGAGCAGCCCAGGGCTGCAGACAAACCCTGCAGGGCAGCAGCTCCAGGGCTGGGGAGCAGGGCCAGACTTACTGAGAGCGGCCAGCGGGGGCTCTGGGGTCAGGGCGCTGACATGGGACTGCGGGCCGGGGTCTCTCCTAGAAGCCAGCTCTGATCAGAGGTTTCCTGGGGAGCCGAGGGCTGCAGGCAGGATGGAGCATCTCCAGACTGTGCAGGACAAAAGGAAAGCCGTCAGTTTGTTAGAGCTGCGTTTGCAATTTCCCTTCCAGTACCCAGCATGTTTCACTGCCTGTGCAGTAAAGTCAGGGTTAATTACCATTGCATAGCCAAGCTGAATTAATTAATCCAGCCTTGCTGAATAAACATTTCTGTCATGGCAGGCCACAAGGCTGAAGTCCAACAAAAGCTCCAAAATGAGCCTGAAATTTGTGCTCAAACCCAGAGTGGAACGGAGGAGGGAGAGGATGAGAAGCATGAATCAGTTCTTCTTCCCAAGACTTTATTTTTTCCCCAGCATGGAGTTCTAAAAATACCTTTGGATGGTGTCCCTCCCCACCCAGAATGGCAAGGCACAGGAACTGCATCCTGTGTGCACCAGGAGCTAAATACCAGGGGCTGACAGATTGCACAGGGTAAGTAATGCCAGCTCTGCCACCCATCCCCACACACTGCCAGCTCTGCTACATAAATGCCTTTACTTACATCATGGCTGGTGTCTTCTTCATCAGCACAGAGCTAACTCACACCAGGGCTGTGCTGGGGGACAGGGAAATCACTCAGGAAGGGATGGGATGCACCCCAGGTCTGCTGGGACATGGCAATCAGGAGTGGATGCACCCAGATCTGGGGCCTGCAGCTCACATCCTTCATTATTCATGAGCTCCTGAGCAGATCCAGGGCTGCAGGGATGGAATTCAATGCCCTGAGCTGCCTGGTGACTCACTGAGGTGCCTGCTGGAGCACTCTGGGCACAGCCTTTGGCTATTCTGGGGAGCCACTCCATGCAGGGAGAGTTACCCAGCCTGGTTTGAGCTGGGTAACTCATTGTTTCCCAAAGCCACAAACAAATGCAGAAAAGCAGAGCCACACACAGGGGGGTTTGCTGCAGGGGCACGGGGCTAAAAATGCAAGATCACAGTTGCAGCCTGTGTTCAAATAAAACACAGGATCTGGAAATGCAAGTTCACAGCTGCAGCCTGTGTTCAAGCACAGGATCCCAATCAAATGCAAGTTCACAGCTGCAGCCTGTGTTCAAGCACAGGATCCCAATCAAATGCAAGTTTTCAGCTGCAGTTGCATTCCAGCCCAGGATCTGCAATAAAATGCACGTTCACAGCTGCAGCCTGTGTTCCAGCCCAGGATCTGCAATAAAATGCATGTTCACAGCTACAGCCTGTGTTCAAGCACAGGATCCCAATCAAATGCAAGTTCACAGCTGCAGCCTGTGTTCCAGCCCAGGATCTGCAATAAAATGCATGTTCACAGCTGCAGCCTGTGTTCCAGCCCAGGATCTGCAATCCAGGTGCTGTTCTGCAGTTATGACCACTCCTGAGGAGTTCCAGCCTTCCCCTGGGGCTCTCTGAGTGTAAAACAGAAAGAGTTCCCTGCAAATGCCCAGCCCTGGTGCCTGCAGGGGCCCCATAAACGCAGGTAAAGTCCATAACCCCACCACTGCCACCCTGACAGAGCTGCCACGGGCAGGGCTCGGGTGACAGGGCACAGGAGGAGCTGACCTGCCCAGAGAGCCCCAGCACACACACAGGCAGCAGAGCTTGCTGGGGAAATGGAAAGGCTTTCTAGGAAATGCCTGCAGAGCCGGGCTCTGCTGGGCTCAGCTCTGTGGGCTGAGCTGCACTGCCCAGCCTGAGGAGCCACGTCCCTGGCAGGGCACCCTCATGTTGGTTTTCATATCCAGTAATTTGAAAGGTGCTATCACTGCCTTATCTTGTATGGTCTCTAACTGTACATCAGGAATAACCCAGCAATTGAATCCTGTATGGTCACTAACTATACATCAGGAATAACTCTGCAATTGAATCTTGTATGATCTGTAACTGTACATCAGGAATAACTCAGCAATTGAATCCTCTATGATCTCTAACCATGCATCACGAATAATTCAGCAATTGAATCTTGTATGGTCTCTAACTATAAATCAGGAATAACTCACCAATTGAATTCTGTATGGTCTCTAACTGTACATCAGGAATAACTCAGCAATTACATCCTGTATGATCTCTATACATCAGGAATATTTCAGCAATTGAATCCTGTACGATCTCTAACTATAAATGAGAAAGAACTCAGCATTGACTTTGCTCTAAGTGAGCAATGCCTGGTGATCACAGTGAGCAGCCAGGTTACAGAGCACACAAACATCCAACACTCAAAGTGCCAACAACTGCAAGTTATCCCTCTGCTGAAGCAATGCTTGAGCGTTGAGCTTGTCATGTAAGACACTTCAATAAATCCCGCACAAAACACATTTCAATCTTTCCTCTGAAACTGAAGGGATTTTCCTGCCCTGCCTCTGCTTTTAACATGTGTTTTGCCTCTATCAATGTTCAGCATTAGTGAAATAATCAGCAATATTACAATGTGCAGTGCTTGTGCAGCTCTGCACTGTGTGGGTGTGTGCAGAGACACATTCAATACAGATACTAACCTGGTATAGTTTATTTACTGTCTATAATGAATTTATTACAATTTATTTCTGTCCCAGTAAGTGTAAGTAGGTACCAATAAGATAAGCCTTGGATTAGGGGCACTGTTAATTTTTAGGTTAAAGATCACTGTTAATTTTAGGTTAAAGATCACTGTTAAATTTAGGCTGAAGATCCTCCAGACTCATCAGCTGCACTGTGGCAGGGCAGGACAATGGGGCAGAGATTCAGAGGAGGGAAATAAATGGTATCAGGCAATACCCAGAGCACAGAAACTGTGCAGATCTGAGCCCTGCCCAGGGGGATCTGTCCCAGCAGCTCTCAGGGAGCTCATGGAAAGAGGAAAAGCCTCTTTTGCTGTCCTGCAACATCTCCAAGCAGGATGAGGGGTTGATGGCTCTGTAAAGGCAAATATCACCCTGGCACAGCTGAGAACAGGGATGACTTTGATGCCATTTGTCTTCCAACCTGAGAGCTTCTGGGTGTGCAGAACAATCCCCAGTTTTGCCCCATTCCATCACATTTCCAAGTCACAAACCAAATTAATTAGCAAGATCGTGGCACCTCCTCCTTAATCTCATTAGCAAGGACTAATGGCTGCAGAATCAATTATTTCATACAGATACTGCCTCAACAGCACCAGCCTCTGCATCACACAGGCTCATTCTGAATTTCAGTTCTGTTGTAATTTACTCCACTAGTTTAATTACAGCCCTTAATTAAGTCCCTTCTTTAATCAACTGTGTATAGCTGTGTCCATTCATGTATGGCAGCATATAAAATAAAAAACAAAAGCAAATAACAAAGCCATGGGTCCAACACCAGGACTTGGCTGGCCCAGCCTCTGCTGCAGGAACTGCCACCATTCCTTCCTTTGGAATGCTCACAGTGAGCTCAGAACAAACACAAATAAACACACATTTTAGCTAAGGTTTGCAAGGATTCAATTTCCCTTCTGCAGTCCCTGAAAGTCCAGTGGATTTGTGATTACACTGACACATTTCATTGTTCACTCCTCTGTCAGCTCAGTGTCTGGGGCTCTGCATCTGCTGTATTTTCCAGAATAGACAAATTCATTTCCAAAGCAATAATTGAGATTTTCCAGCTTCACTCTTCACTATTATCACAAACAGTTTGCATTTCCTTCCAATGCAGTGTGGGAGTAACAAGTTTCTTCACTGGTCTCAACACATTCCTACTTTTGCTTTTTCTGCTGATTTTTTTTTTTCCCACAGTGGTAAAAAAAACTTCTTATCATTTTCTGATAAAGAACCCAAGTGGTTTTTTTCCTTCAATTCTATCTTTCATATTCTCATGCATATCTGATAAAACTATCCAGTGACTTTTTTTCTTTGAGATCTACTAGAACAAATGTACCAAAAGGGAATTAGCCACAAAAATGAGAAAAGCCAACACCCTCTCTGTATGCAAATTTCTTCTCTTAAATACAAAAAACGAGACCATGGGAATCGTATTTCAGTGAGCAAATTAACAAAAGGTCAGAAAGCTTGATCTTTGTCGCTGGTGTACTCTGTCTGAAAGCTGAACTGCCTTTTAAATATTCATAAGGGAGAGCTGTAATTGCAGGCTGAGAGCTCTGTGTGCACAGGAGAGGAAACTGAAAATATTCATGACATGGGAGATATTCCACCAAAGGAAAATCCGGGTGAAGGAAGGGAGCCCTAACCTGGAATTTGCAGGGTCCCTGCCCAGTGATCCTGAGGTTTTAAAAGCTGCCACTGGAAAATGGAAACCGGGCTCCAAAAGATTCACAGCTCCTTGTTAAATAGTTTTTGGAAGCTTATAACAAAGATGCTCATTGGTTAGACAAGGCAACATCCCAAAATACTCCACTGATGACACCTGGTGGAGTTGCACAGGGTGTTCTGTCAGCTCTCTGAGCACATTTCAGACTGCAGGGATCACACTGTGGGACAGTGGTCATGGCAGTGGAGTTCCACTCTGAATTACCTGGATGTTTTTAAATGATATTCTATCATGTTTCTCCCATTTCTGCCAAAGGTGGGTGTTGGAATGGGAGAAACATGATAGAATATAATGGATAATGGATGTTCAGAGCAGCCTGGGGTTACTGCCCCTGCCCAGCTGTAACCCCAGGCTGCTCTGAACACCCATTATCCATTACCCAGCATTTCAGCTGGGGCTGTGGAGCAGGTAAAGATTGCCCTGGCAGGTTCCTGGTGCAGCATCCATTCAGAGCACGTGCACACTGAGCCTTCAGCTGCACAGTGCATCCCAAAATCGGGGTTCCAGAGCCACAGAACTCACAGAACTCGGGGTTCCAGTCTCACAGAACTCGGGGTTCCAGTCTCACAGAACTTGGGGTTCCAATGCCACAAAACTCCGGGTTCCAGACTCACACAACTCACAGAACTCGGGGTTCCAGAGTCACGGAACCCAGGGTTCCACAGTCACAGATTTTTGGGGTTCCAGAGTCACAGAACTCAGGGTTCCAGACTCACAAAACTCGGGGTCCCAGACCTCACCAGCTCTTCCCTGCTGAAGGGAACTCTCAGAGCTCAT